CCCCCCCCCCCCCCCCCCCCCCCCCCCATACCCGGCCCGGCCCCTCCGCGCTCCCGCTGCAGCCGCCGGACTGGGCGCAAAGTTGGTGGGCGCGCTCCGCTCCTCCGCCTCCTCCTCTGCGCCCGCGTGCCGGGGATGGCGCGGGCTCCCGCGGCCTGAGATCCGGCGGGCGGGCGGGCAACAGCAGCGGCGGCGGCAGCAACCGGAGGGAGGTCCGGGAGCCCCCCGGACCCGGAGCGGAGCCCCTGCGCGGGTGGAGGAGGAGGAGGAGGAGGAAGAAGAGGAGGAGGAGGCAAGATGTCCGCCCGAGTCGTCGCCTCCTCCAAGGTGAGCCTCCCCGCCGCTGCTCTCTTCCCCCGCGGGGCCCAGAGGGAGCCTGGCCCGGCCCGGGGGGAGCCCCCCGCCCGACCCCCGCGCCCGAGACCCCCGGAGGGGCCGCCAGGGGAGCCCGCCCGCCCGGGCGCAAAGCAATGCCCGCTTGGCGAGGGAGGGCGCGTTTGGGCCATGGGGATGGGGGGGTGGCAGGGACCCCTCCCCTTGGACTCCCCCTCCCCGGGGGGGGTCTGGCTTTCTTGGATGGGGGGGTCCCTGCGGGTCTCTTCTCTGCCCTCCCCCCCCCCGCCGCCCCGTTTCCCTCCCCAACCTCCGGGACTCCGCTGGGAAAGTTTTGCAAGAAGCGGCGTCTGGGCGGGCGAGGCTGTTGGCTGCCCCGCTTGGAGGCTTCGGGCTGGGGTTGCAACAAAAAAAGGGGGGGAAGGAGAAGCCTTTGCAAAGCGGGGAAGGAGAGGTGGGGGGGTGCTTCCTTTGCGGGAAGAGGGGGGGAGGCCGCTTCCTCCAAAGGAAAAGCCCCCTCCTCTCTCGCTCCTTTCCTAGAGGAAGGAGGCCTTGGAGGATTGGAGCTTTTGTTGGCAAATCTGCCCCCCCCCCCCCGCCTTAATCCTAAACCCACCCTGGCCCTCCCCCTCTTCCCCGGCAGTGGAGGGGCTGGCTTTCCCAGGGGGGGCTGGCTTTCCCAGGGGCTCCTTCCTTTTGCAATCGGGGCAGGATCCCCTCCCCTGCCCTCCGGTTCCAAATCAATGGTGGCTTTGCAATTGGGCTTAGCAAGGCAGGAGGAGCCCACTCTGGGAGCCCCCTCCCCACCCATGGGCCTGGGGCTGCTGCCCAGGGGCTCCTCCACACAGCCCCCCTCTGAAAAAGCTGTTGGTGCTGGGAGACTTTAACCCCACCTCTTCCCCCCCCCACACACACACACCTTGGAGGTCTCCTTCCAGGGTTGTGATCTGGGCTGTGAATGAAAATAGTGTGTGGTAGCACGTGGCCAGGTGGAGGGGAGGGGTGTTGTGTTGTTGTGGGCCCACAGGACGTGTCCTTTCTCTGGAATTCCACAACACCTGAAACCCAACCGACAGGTTTGCCAAAGAGTCTTGACGGATGGGATCAGCCGCCGTTGCTTCTTCGTCTTCTTCTTCTTCCCAGACCTGGCTGGGGTGGTTCCCGTGGGGGAAACACCTGCTAGGCCTCCGAAACAGGTGCCTCCTGCACAATGCGCCCGGTTAGATGCCTGCCTTAGCTCCGGAGAAGGGCTTTTGGCGTGCCTGGAACATGCCAGGGAAGAAGAGGATCCCAAAAGGGATCTACCTGTTGGATGTGCAGCTTGGCTCTTCCGCTTGGCAGAGGGGAAGGGGGGGGGAAAGAGGGAGGAGGGTGTTAGTTGCTCCTTTATAGACCTGTGGAACGGCAGCCTTGATTCTGGGACTCTCTGACGGAGGGAAGCACAGCATCCGTCTCTCTCCCAAGTCGGCTTGGAGTGGCAGCTCAGCTCGGGGGGCCGAAACTCTGCAGTTTCGGTGTCATTTCATTGCTGTGTGCTCTGTTCCCGATGCAGCAGCCTCCAGGGTTTGCAATTTGGCAGTCCTCCTTGGCATCGGGCGGAGGTATCTGGTGGCAGTCGCCGAGGCTCCTTCGCCAAATAAATATTGGATCGGCTCTCCCGAGCTTATTTTTAACCTCCATTCATTGGGTGGATGGGCCTCCTTTGCAGAAAAACAAAGCCAGATTTAGGCCTCGGTGGGGCTGCCGGGGTGGGGTCGGTCTGCCCTCCACCCCTTTCTTTTTCACGATTTAAAACAATCCAAACTTTCCAAACTCCCTTTGCTAACCCGTTTGCCAACTTTTCCGGAGAGGAGGGGTCTGGAATCTAAACAACCACTTTCCGGAGTGTTTTGTTTTTTTTTCCTAGGGAAATCCATGCATTTATTCCTTCGTGGAGCAAATTGTGGATCAAAAAACAGAAACCCAGACACTTTAAAAGTGTTTTGTAAATCCAAAACTTTCGATCAGGAGGTGTCCAACAAGGGCAACTTTGAAGACTTGTGCATTTCGATTCCCCACCCAGCGTGGCTGGCTGGGGAATTCTGGGAGTTGAAAGTCCACAAAGTCTGAAAATTTTGCCACGGTTGGACAGTCCTGCCTTAAATAATAAAAGCTGGTATTTTAACGGCTGTCCATTGTTTGGCCTGCAAGAATGCGGAGAGTTGGTAGCTAAGGGTTTGCTCCGGAAATGTGTGTGTGATAGGACCCAGGCATTGCTTTGTAGCTTATTATTTTTGGCAGAACAATGTTCTTAGGCCTCCTGGTCCATTGTGCAGTGAGGGAACAGGGTTTTATTAAAACTGCACTCTGGCTGCCCAAGGAAGGAAAACAGTTTTGAGCCAACTGTCTTTGAAGCTCTTTACGACATTTTACTCTGCTTTGTGGCACACCCTGGTGTGGTGGTGTGTTCGTTTAAGCACTGCGTGTTGACCGTTTTACAGGAGTGCTTTGGGTCAGAGATGGGAAAAGGAGACTTAAATTGCTCACCGTAGCTGGCTGCAAAAATTCTTGATGTCCAGAGGTGAAGCCGACATTTGCAAAAGTTTTTATGGGTTCAAGTCATGGTGCAAAAGGAACCCCCTTCCCCCATTTTTTTAAAGCAATTTGGAAGGTTTGAGCATTTGGTTCACCGAAAAATTGGTGAGGAACACACCTGCACACACGCACACACACGTGTGTGTTTGTGTGTAATGTGTTCCCTATTGGAGGTGGTTAGTGGACCAGGATTGAAAACCCCACATCCAACCCCATGATATTCTTTCTCTGGCTTTTAACTTCTTTAATTTTGGTTTATTTAACGTTTCATGTTTTTATACCTCCGTTTTGATGATGCTTGCAAGTCCTCTTGTCAGTGAGATGGGAGGCATTTAAAATGTAATTAATTAATCATGGGGTGGAATTACTTCTTTCTAGTGCTGCCTTCTTGGTTACAACACTGTCTGGCTGAGTAAATTTCATGCATCGTGTGTTGAATTGGGGCTTTGGGTTTACATTGTCCAAGCGAGAAGCTGTAAAGTCTTAGGCGCTGGGTCCTTTAGCTTCCCTTCATTATATTTTGGTTTTTCTGTGTTTTTTTTTCCCCTCCTTTGTGCCATTGTCTGCTTTGTGGATGGCCAATTTGCTTTGCTTGCTTCAGTCCCGCTCGCTTTGGAGAAATATTAACCAACGTTGTCTTGATGTTCTTGAGATAAGGAGGAAAAAAAATATTTCTGTTTGCTGCAGTTTGGAGCTCAAACAAGACCAGGCGCAGTAGGAGTGAAAACCACTAATTAATACTTCGTTTTGCTTACGAGAGGGACAAGTCGGAAGTTCATCTAATTATCTGGGTTGTTGTTTTTGGTTGGTTTTTTTTGCAGACTTGAGACGTAAGCAATCTTTATTTTGGAGCAACCTTGGAATCAATCTGTCAGGCGAGACTTAATATAGTAGTTTTGTTGTTCGTCTATTGTGGAAACACAATTCAATTATTTATCATGGGATATGCTAATCCCAAGGGGTTTTAAGAGCCTGTTGGATTGGGACGGTCTGCAGGGTTGATTTTATTATTATTATTATTCATGGGGCGGCCTTAAAAAAAAAAAAAACAGGTTTCATCTGGAAAAGATTTGACTTTGCACAACTTGAAATGAACAATAAAAAAATTATACAATTCCAGTTAAGGGCTGCATTTTTAATATCTTGGGAGAACATGGTGTAGCCTTGGTGTAGTCCTGTGCTTATCACCGTTTGTTTAATGACCACTTGAAGGTAGAGTGGTCTTGAGAGAAGCAATTACGACCTGTGCTTGCACTTGTGACCATCACACCACTGCCAGAACCAGATCACATTGACAATTGATTGCGAGGTTGTACAATCCAATGCGATTTGTGGTCTTTATTGTTGTTTTCCAACAAACAAACAAACAAAATCCCAGTGCCCATTGGGTACGCTGGATTCGCTTAATGTCCATGCAGTCTGCATAAACCACCATTGTAAAAACTGTCGTATAATTGGGCCCGACTCGACTTATGACTGCAATCACTTCATGACAAAAATTCTGGTTGCAGTTGTGAGGCAGTCGAGCTTCTAGCAGCTAAGGAGCCCATTGGTAGTCTGCAGGAGAACATTCTCTCACACCCAGGTCAGAAGAAACTAATGTTCCTTCTTAATTAATAACCTTAATTTATAGAGTTGGAAGGGACCTTGTAGGTCATCTAGTCCAACTCCCTCCCCTGTTGACTTTTTATTCAAGGGATACAGCTTGCAAACTGCACCCCTCCTCCCAGCAAGGAGCAGTTACACCTTAGGCTCCAAAAGGCACACATACAAATATATGTTTAAGGATTTCTTTCCTACGACTTGTAAACCGCTTTCTTTGTTTGATCTGAGAATTACTGTCCTCCCGTTGCGCTGAATTTGTGGGGATATTCCTTACTGACCTGAGTTAAGACGTGTCCTTAAAACAGCTCTTGCAAGGTTGAACACACCTCCTCCTAAAGACAACTGTGCAAAAGTTCACAGTTTCAGGACCGATTTTCACCAGATTTAACCACGGAAGTGTTCATCCATCACCTGAGCCCGTGGATGTGCTTTGAGCACAATACCGCTTCCTCTTAATACATATAGATATTTGTCTTCATTGGATCCAAGCGGAGGAAGGGGCGTTCTTGCCACAGTTGTTAAGTGAATCAAGGCAGGTGTTCAGTTAGTAACATGCTGACTTTGCTTGTCAGTAGGTTGGAAAAGGGAATCGTGTGACCCTGAGATGCTGCGACTGTTGTAAATACGAGCCAGTCGCCAAGTGTCTGAATTTTGACCGTGTGGCCAGGGGGATACTTCAATGGCCGTAAGTAAAACGGTCATAACTCACTTTTTTCAGTGCCGTTGTAACTTTGAATGGTCACTACATGAACTAATGTAAGTCAAGGACAACCTGTAGTGGATGTGGGATTTTTTTAATTGTTCTTTCCTCTCTA